TTAATCTTAATTAACGCGTTAAAGTCCCGGCCCTAAAAATAATCAATTGTGCGCCGTGAGAGGGGAGCGAAGACACTCTCCTCACTAGCGCTGTAGCAAGTTAGCTTTGAGCGAGAGCACGATCACAAGGCTACAGGTAGCGATGAGCTAGAATATTTATTTTCAATAAGCTAGCTTGGCTTCTACACAAAAAGTAGTAACCTGCGCAGCGAGAAGATGAAAAAGATCTGAACTCGTAGACAACACCGGAACTTATGCCTTCCGGGGTCATACGAGGTCACACGTGACTTTGTTGATATAAATATTCGACCTACGCATGTGCGAGACAGAAATATCCAGTGCTAAAGCACCGCCTCTGGCGGTCAGTAAGGATGAAATAGAACACATGATGATCATGAGAGACGTTCTGCAAGAAGGAGGTTTCACCGACGACAGGTGGCTCTGACTTTTATGTATAGTTGACGGAGCATTTTTACTTTACACAACACTGTTCAACACTTCATTCTGCTTCACTCTTTCGCTAAAGATTTTGAAGACATCAGCGTTCTTGTGACGCGTAAATACTACACTTCATATGTTTTGGTGCGGACTGCGTTCACACCAGCGATCAACCACTCCAGAGTTCACTTGCAAGCGGTCCGAGACCACCTCTTTTAGGCGGACCAGAGTCCGGTTGTTTAGTTCACTTAAGAGGTCTCGGACTGCGTTCACACCAACCCAAACGAACAGCACCAAACAGCTAAACACACCAGGGATCGATTCAACCGGACTATACAAGGCTGGTGTGAATGTGAATTAAGACTCTTAACATATAATTCAAGTTAGCATTTTAGAAGTGAAGCTAGCCATGGCCAGTTAAATCAAAATGCAAGACATTTGGCCTAACTCATTCCTTCAGATAAAACGGTCTCTTGGTTATGACATAGTAAGAACTCCACATGATATGATTGCCTTTTATTCATGGAATCACAGCTGCTAGCTGTTAGCTTTCTGGATTTTCAATCTCAGTATTGTAATGCAGGAAATGACAGAGGTAAAATATGTTTCTCTGAGAGTATCAACATCTTTCTCACATAAAATTAAGAAAAAACTCTTAATGACTAAAAACACAAAATATTTGTTTTCATGGTCCTTGCCATTCATCGCGCCACCAAACATGTCACAATTAAGTCATTTGGAGAATTTTGAATATGACCATTTATGAAGTTGGCCGTTCATATAGACTCTTTTCATGAACAAGGTAAGACCAAACTGGGGGCAGCATTTTTCTTCTTAAAGGCCATGTAATGCATCTAACACAGGTGTTTTTTAACATGTAGTTTAGATATCACCAGAATAAAAATAAATAAAAATGTTTAAAGTTTGGTCATAATTAAATGACATATACGTTAAAAAAGAAGGCTGTCTCAGTGTTTGGACACTGAAAATAGCGTATCTTCAATACAAACAACAACACAGAGCAGTTGATGGCCCACTACACCAGTAAGTAAATATTGATTGACCCAACTGCCTATTGCAGCTTTGCTTTCATATAATACTTTTAGTCGCTACAGATATGGTACACTTTTAAAGATACCATTAAACTCTTTCAAGCAGTCAAAAACAGCTTGGCTTTTATTTTTTCTGTGTATGCAAGTTCAATGTATGCTTGGGAAAAGAAACAACTACACATGTGAGGAAATATATAAGAGGTCTATGATTCTTTCAAGCAGTCATGTACAACCTCATATTTATTTTGTACAAGTAAAATACAAATATCATGTTATAAGCCAATTTGTAACCATTGCTACATAATAGTACTACATAACATTTTATTTTTCTCCAAATATATTTATAATCTGTATACTTTTTTTTCATTAGGAAGTATCGATATACAGCTTATCGACAGTTTGTACGTTGGTGCTGGGGTGTACTCGGCCCA